CCGCTGTTTCCTCGGCCTTCTATATCCGAGTCACTGCACCATATGTTAGGTGAAATACCTCGGTCCTTGGTTTCACGCAAGAAAGAATTCACGCCAAAGCCTGGTTTGTGATTCAAGTGAGTTTTATAAAGGTTAGAAGCAGCATAAATGCACATGACTGTGGCCTGGCCACTCGGGACCACAGCCCGGCCATGCTCAGTCTGTGTTGGAGCCACTGGGAGAAAGCACGCCAGAGCAAACTTCTGGCTTTTCAGGGGCCCCGGTGGGAGGCGTGGTTGACAATTCTGGTCAACCCCATGGGCTGAATCAAATTCGCCTGGCCTAGATGGGTCAAGCCAGGTGTACCACCCACCTAGGTGTACCGCTCCTTCCTGGCCAGGAGCTCAAACATAACAAATCCATTTTTAAAACACTAAATATGTTCTTCAAAGACAGCTACTATGTAAAGCAGTGTTTCCCAAAGTGGGCAATACTGCTCCTTGGGATGCACTAGAACAATTCCATGGGGGCTGTAAAAGCAGATACCTACATTGTATCTGGATTAGGGGCTTAGCACAAACGATTCTCCTTGCCAGGGGAGCAGAGTAATATTTATTCTGAAAAGGGCAGTAGGCCAAATGAGTGTGCGGAACCTATGTTTTGAAGGATTCTTAGTGATGAAATACCAGTGTCTACATAGAGAGCGCTAAACCTGATCTGTAAAGGAGGTATTCCATTTTACCAAGGGACATGTGTTCAAAACAAGAGTTAGCTGTCTGTTTCCCCTGCTCTGGGCAATTGCACCCCAAAGGCACACACACATTTAGATGGCAGTAATGACAGAAGAGCAATATAGTCGTAGCAACTCCCATTAGCATTCATAAAATAAAACAATCCAGAGCTCACCACAAGTAGAAATTACCTCTATTAAAACACGGACCTGAACACCATTTTCCAGAATATTCTCGGAGTCACATGAAAACATACACATACGAAATTAAGAAAACAAGTGTGCGTTGCAAAGAAAGCAGTCAAAAGGGCAAACAGGAGCCAGAGAAATCACAATTCATAGACAAGAAAACACACAGCAATGTTAGGTAGCAAGATTGTTCCTCTCCATGCCCAGGGGCCCCTACAGGAGGTTGGAAGCCAGTCATGGCTAAAAATGCGCCAATTCAGGCGCATCTGGATTGGCCCAATCTAGGCCAGGTGGGCTGAAATCAGCCAATGGGGTCAACCAGTACCATCGGCCATACGTCCCAGCCACAGGCCCCAAAAGGCGAACCTGGAGACCACGACCCTCTTTCTGTCTGCATCTCTGCAGTTCTGCCCCACTGGGCCTCGGTCTTTCTCTCTCTGGCCTCAGGTCGCCACGTGGGTGTGCAGTGCCATGAGGGTGCTTGTGTTCAGATACTGTAACGCCAGAAACTTATTTTATCCTTTATAAAAACTCACTTGAATCACAAACTAGGCTTTGGCGCGATTTTTTTTCTCACGTGAAGCCAAAAACCAAGGTATTTTCTCACCCGAGGAATCGAACAGCAAGACTTAGTAAAGTTTCTGAAATCCCTGAAATAGGGGCTTGTAACTCTTCGACGGCTTTCCTTTCAGGCTCCCCAAGGGTGTTTGAGGATAGGGGGTTAAAAAAAAGCAGCAACAAAAGCAACAAAATGCACCCTACCGGGGGGTGGGAGTTGGGGGGGCATTCATGATACCCATTAAAGGTCAGAAAGAATTGAATGAAGGCTAAATCCACTTGGAGACTCATAATTGAATTTACAGCTGTATTAAAACACCCTGGTTTGCCAAAGGCTGGGGATGGCAGTGACAGCCCAAAATCTATTTGCAGAGTACCCACATAAAGTAAGCTTCCATTGAATGCTTTCTGATCCTTAATGAATGATGTAGATAATCTTGTCCTCAGTCAGAATACCTTTGTAGAGTGAATTGCCTCCACTCTTCTCTGGCCAGCCCAGGGAGGACCAGCCTCTCCCAGGGACTTTCCTAGGGGTGTCCTTGATGGCAGTCACCTTCTGGGGCTGGTACAGAAGATCACATAGTCATGAGTCATGTCTTATCAGTCTTGCCCTTATTGCCTTGGGTGGAAGGCCCTGGACTAATCATGTAAGCCCTTCTAGCTAACAATGTATGAGTGTCCCAATCGTGCTCCTGTTCCTGCTTCTGCAGGCCCACTTGTAATTGTGATGTACAGATCTGCCACCAACCATGCTTTGGGGACAGTTTCCTTTGCCCTCATCCCCCATCCCCTATTTACCTTGCTTCCCAATTTCCAGGTCTCGGATGTCATTGAACCTCATGTTGGTAGCCTCCCTCATCCAGATGTTGTGTCTGCATTTTTGTGTTGTCTTTGTCTCTTTTAAGATTTAATAAACGTTTTCCTTAAATTGTATTTGAATTGGAGCCTCTTGTACCCCCAAACAGAACTTCCACTGTAAACTGTAGCCTTCTGCAAACTCTGCTTAGAATCTAAATTCTAATATAGGACTGAGGAATATGACCTGTGAACTAAAAAACACTGTCATGGTGTTGGTGCCAGCTCCTAATCACCCTATAGGACAGGGTAGAACTGCCCCTGTGAGTTTCCATAACTGTTTATGGAACTATAACTGTTTAAAGGAGTAGAAACTGTTTACAGGAGTAGAAAGTCTGTCTTTCTCCCTCGGAGCTGGCTGGGTTTCGAGCCCAATTGGTTAGCAACCCAATTGTTAACCACCACCATGCCACAGTGAAAGAGATGGGCAAAATTCTTCCCTCTTCAAATTTATCTTCAAGATCAGAGGTGGTCAGAGGTTTGCATTATTTGGTATTAAGGCTCCATCCTAAAACGCAAACAAACCCGTGTTTGAAATTCTTGCCTTCTTCATTGAGAACAGGTTTAAAGCAAGACCACCAATGATTTTGCCTGGGGTTGGTATTGTTCCAGGGGAGTCAAAAGATACCCAAATCACACATCATTACAGATATATTGTAGGATAGAAGAGATCCCAGATTCTACATATAATTCATAAAGAACATTTGCTGAGTCCTAAACAGGATAAAGGCAAAACAAAGGGATATTACCCTATCGGATGAAGGAGACCATAGCATGTGATGTTAAGGGTTTGCTGAGATTCATGGACTTCCAAAGGACACAGGTGGACAAAGGAAGATGTGAGTTAGTGTCTAAAAGCAAAGGCACTTCTGACAGAGCTCTGGTTTCACCCTATGCCTTCAAATTAGTTCAAATCATCCTGAGTGCCCCACATTCACTTTGACCTCCCAGCTGCCAGCTTGAAGTCTGAGGAAGCCTCAAAGGACAGTAGCCCTGAGCAATGTCCTTGGTGATCTGGGAAGGCAGGGAGGAGCAGGTTACTTAACAGCAAGAAAGATAGAGTGCGGGAGTTCCAGCTGTAGTGTGCTATGCCCATCAGGGAACCACCAGGTTGTGGAAGGAGGAACACGCCCATTGAACAGATAGGAATGTAGACAAAGAACAGGGAGGTGAAGGAGCAATAGCACCAAGAATAAGGGTAGACTGGAACAAGATATGCAAATAGGAGAGTCACCTCCTTTGTCCTCCCTAATTCTGGCATGATGGGTCAACAAAAATCCCCTCCTGACCAACTTTATCTTAAAGCCTTTGACAAAGTTTTGGGGCTATGTTTATCTCCTCTGTTGCAGACCTGAACCATTACCAGCTTTAAAGAGAACAAGTCATGTTTGGCTCTTGGGATTCGGTCAGACGTAGCCTGGACAGCGTGCCAGTCCATTTTCCACCTCTCTTTTCTCTTTGATGCATAAGCGAAGCTTTTCATATTGCTAATCAGTGGTCAATGGGGCTCAATATATGTTGAGACTCACAAATGGATTTTTGGCCCCCCACTGAAGCCTTCTGCAAACCTAGTGCTCAGGATTTAGCTCCAATAAAGTGTCCACCATAAAGTCGCTTTGGCAGAAGAAAGCCTTTTATTTGTTATGGGCCTGGGTGTCCATGGAAGGGGTGATCAAGATGCCAAGGTCTGGGCAGCCTCCATGAAAAAGCCTCACTCAATGAGGATCCAGCATATTTGATTACCCCATTTCTTGCCGGATCCAGAATTTTTGATTACCCCACTTCTTGCCGGAACCTGTCTTTTAGAAACGCATGCATAACAACGGAAAAGAGAGACAACTCCTAAGAGACCCTTACTCAACCCCAGGGGAACCCACCCTTTCCTCCCGCTAAGGGGCAGGCTGGCGCCTGCGCACTGACCCCGGCACGCCCCCGGAAGCCCCGAGATTGAGGCGCTTTTGGGTTCTTTGAGAACGGACCAATTAGGCATTTTTTAGGACATATTGTTATTGGCCTATGCGATAACTTAAGACAGGTCGAAACTCCTAGAGCGTGAAGTCATTTCTGTTGCCATTTCCCTTCGTTGACGGCCTCACCGAAGGCAGCCCCTAGTAACTTGCTAAGGGTCTGGGTCCTAAGTTTCCATGACGACACGCCGGCGTTCCGGGAAGCGGCGCGGCGGGATGGGGTTGGGCGGGAAACCCAGTTTGTGGGTGCAGTTGGCGGAAGTTCCTTTCCCGTCACCCGTGATTCAGAGTCGGGGCTCACGCCGCCCCGCCTCCGGAGTCCGCGGAGTTGGGCGCGCGTTGGGGGCCGTCCGCGGAAGAGGCTGCGGGCCGCCCCGCCGGGAGGGAGCGCGCGCGCCCACTAGGGGGCGCTCGCCGGCCTGCGAGGGGCCGAGCGAGTCCCCCGGGGCGGCCGCGGGCCGACCGGCGAGTCCGAAGATCCCCGAGGGAGCGACCCCGTGCCCGACGGAGTCTCAGCTCCATAGTTTAGCGCCGGCCGCCGGCAGCTTTTCTGTTTGGCCCGCAGAAGCGCGGGGCAGCTGGCGCGCGCCGCGCGGCGCTGATTTGTTTGTGGACTAGAGTCCCTTTCCGAGGATCGCTAACGTTTCTGAAGCGATTACTTCAGAGTAGTTACAGTGGAGCAGCTGTTAATGATGTCCCTCCCGCAAACGCCCTCGGCCGTCCGGAACGGAGGCCCAGCGCCCGAGGGCAGAGCACTGGCCGTGTCGGCCTCCAGGGAAGAGGCCCGAGGTAACGGCTCTCCTCGCCACGCGAATGCCCGCGGCCCTAGACATCACCGTCCCGTCACTTTGTCCTCGTGTGAGATTGCAGGAGGAGTTAATTAGCTAAGTCTCACACATTTGTAGACAATCCCAAACTATTCCTTTTCGGTATATCCAGGGGCCCTGATGGTGCTATTGGTGAAGCGCTGGTTTGCCAAACCCAAGTTGTTGCCGGCATTTTTTAGCCCGGTGCCACTATTCCTGGGTTATCATTTGCTGTTTTTCCCCTTTTCTCAAATGTCACCCAATTTCATATTTTAAGTTTATCTGATTTATATACCCAGTTTCATACTACCAAAGGAACTCTTTTGGTTACATAGTTTCTGGCTTACAGGAACTTTGAAAATAGTAGTAGAGGCAAGAGAACATGCACTTTAGTGCAGCAACCCAAATGGACTAGGTTTTAGTAACGTCTGTAAATGAAATCAATTCCTGAAGATATTTTTATGTACAGATGTAAAATTTTTAAAAATCGTTTTATTAGGGGCTCATACAACTCATCATGGTCCATGCATACATCAGTTGTGTAAAGCACATTTGTATATTCATTGCCCTCATCATTCTCAAAAGATTCGCTGTCCACCTAAGCCCCAGGCATCTGCTCCTCATTATTTCCCCCTCCCTCCCTGCTCCCCCCTCCCTCATGAACCCTTGGTAATTTATATACAGACGTAAATTATTAGAAAAAGAATCACCTAGACGTGTCCCTACCTGTTATGCTAACGTTTTCTCTAGCTCTATCCTTTTATTAAGTGAGATCATGCTAAAACTCAAACATCCCCAGTCTCTGATCCTCCCCTGTTCTCCCCTCCCCCCCTACCCCCCACCTATTTCATCTGATACCCTCTATTCCAAACTCAGGATAGAGACTTGATGTTGACCTGAGAGGTCGTGATGGTAATCAAAGTGAGATACTTCTTTTTTTTTTAAATCATTTTATTGGGGGCTCATACAACACTTATCACAATCCATGCATATATCAGTTGTATAAAGCACATGTGTACATTCGTTAACGCTCATCGTTCTCAAAACATTTGCTCTCCACCTAAGCCCCTGGCATCAGCTCCTCATTTCCCCCCCCTCCCTCCCTGCGGCCCCCTCCCTCATGAGCCCTTGGTAATTTATAAATTATTATTTTGTCATATCTTACTCTGTCCGACGTCTCCCTTCACCCACTTGTCCATCCCCCGGGCAGGAGGTTATATGTAGATCCTTGTAATCGGCTCTTCTTATAGAAAAGAATGTAAGCTGCAATAGATGCTGTGGAGGCAGTTCTGACTCATAACAGCCCTCTACAATAGAACCAAATGCTGCCCGGCCCTGCGTCAGCCTCATGATTGTTTTATTCGAGTCCTTTGCAAAGGCCTCTGGGTCAATCCATGGTGCCTTCCTACCCGAGGCTCATCTTCTGGCACTGTGTCTGATAATGTTTTGCTTCTACCCATCAGGTTTTCAGTCTCTGACAGTATATTTCTATACTATTCAGAAGGCTTTCCGGGGCTGATTTCTGGAAGCTCTGCTTAAACCTCTTCACTTTGCGTGACCCTGCTGGCACGTGAAACACCTGTGACGTGACTTCCAGCATCACAGCAACACACCAGCCACCACTGTATGACACACTGACAAGTGCTGGATAAATCCCTTGTTAAGAACAAGTGACAGCCTGTCTACTTGACGTTGTAGGAAGTGTTCCCCCACATTAATCCTACCTTTATAATTCTTCTGCTCTAATCAAGCTTTGTAGTATGTTCGCTCCGCCCATTTGCTCAGATTGTTCCACCCTATCTGGAGTGTCCTCTTCTGTTTCCATTTATCCGAATTCTCTTCTTACTTTGAAACCCAGCCTCAATCCCTTCCACTCTATAAATGCCCAAACTTGAAGCAAATCATTCTTTCTTTGGAATATATCTAGGAAGCATTACTAAATAATTTGACAGTCTGGGGAGTGGGGAGTAGAACTTTGTTTTGCCATTTTCACATCATAAGGAAACAATATAGTTCCATCATGTTAAGCCTGTTCCAATTAGTGAAGCAAGTAAAATGAATTTAAATTTTTAACTTTGAATTTGGGATATTGGGGGGTCGTTTTTGAACCTGTGTCTGATGTATGAGTAGTGCTGGGAATATGTTCATTTGGGAGAGCATCTATGTTTTAAATATTTTTTGTTAACTATCCTTTTTAACAACCTAGAATATGCAGATGACATAACCTTGCTTGCTTAAAGTGAGAACTTGAAGTACTTGATCAAGGATTGTCGCCCTCAGTATGGATTACAGCTCAATGTAAAAAACAAAACAAAACAAACAAAATTCCCAAATCCTCACAACTGGACCAATAGATAACATAAATGGAGAAAAGATCGAAGTTGTCAAGGATTTTGTTTTGCTTGGATCCGTAATCTATGAACATAGAAGCAGTAGTCAAGAGATCAAAAGACACTTTGCTTGGGGTAAATTGCTGGACAAGACTCTTTTAGAATATTGAAAAGCAAAAATGTGACTTTGAGGACTAAGTGATGCATATGATCCAAGCCATGTATCTTCAGTCACCTCATAGGCTTATGAAAGTTGGACATTGATTAAGGAAGACCCCAAAAGAATTGAGGCATTCCAACTGTGGTACTGGAGAAGACTACTGGAAGTATCACGGACTGCTAAAAGAACAAATAAATGTGTCTTCTCTTAGAAGAAGTATGGCCAGAGTGCACCTTATAGTCAAGGATGGCAAGACTTCATCTTACAGGCTTTGGATATATTATCAAGAGAGACCAGTCTCTAGAGGAGGACATAAAGGAGGACATGATGCTTGGCAAAACAGGGGCAGTGAAAGAGAGGAAGTGTCCCTCACTGCCCCCACCAAAAAAGAGAGAGAGAGAGAGAAGGCCTTCAAAGAATTGGGCTAACACAGCTGCAACCATGTGCTCCGGCATGGGAACCTTGTGAGGGGGGCACAGGCCCTGTTCCTTCAGTTGTGCACAGGGTCGCTCTGGGCGGCCCACCACCACCACATTCTGGTCAACCAGACGATGTTTTCCTCTGTTTCTGTTGGAAACATAGATGGGGTTGGCGAGGCAGGCTGGGAATCTATCTAACGCTATGGAAAACTACAGTAAGGCATTTTCTTTCCGTTTACTTTCTCAGGTCTTCCTGAGCTAAAAGAGAAAAAAAGCATGGTGGCTCATTCAAAGCCCTTTCCTGCTTCTCTCCAGAATGAGTGCATACCCGAGGAAGTTCTGCTTTCTCTGACCTCTGCAGCCAATGCAGGTTCTTGCCCTGAAAAATTACTGCCTCCTAAGAAAATTAGAGCCCCAAAGGTTTGTATATGTATCTGCGTGTGTAATGTTCTTGGGAATGTTAATCTTTTTGGTATTCATTTTAATAAGTATAGTGAGCATACTCATAAATATTCCAGATAGTCTTAAAAAACATACACTTTAAATTGTATACATTGGGGGGAGGATTGTTTCATTTATTAAAATAATTGTATTTGCATATATTTCATTTGTACAAATTAATCATTCAATCATATTAAGATTTGTGCAATCATCACCTAAATTTCAGAAAATCTTCTCCTACTCATTGTTGTGAGTTCTCCATTCCCCCATCTTCTACGGCCATGCCCCTAGTCACTGTCTCTGTAGACCTACATATCCTGGATTTCATATAAAGACTATCATGCAAAACCCAAACAGGAAGCAAATAGACAAATGACAACGACTAGACAAAAATGGAAAAACCCCAATCCAGAGGAAAGCAGAAAACATTAAAAACAGAAACACCTTTAAAGTGAGTCAAAAGGCAGATCAAATGATAAAGTTTTACATTTGAACCTAACTACATTGCCGTATTCAATTTTACAGTGCTCTGTCTAATAGCAAGGCTTGACTGGTCAGAGGGGTTTAACTGGAGACTTAATCCATGTGGGGATCCTGCAAATGGATTTTGGGATTCCACTGTCATCCATAGCCTTCTGCAAACAGTGTCCAGAATTTAATCTCTGATACCATTCCTGTCTTCAGATATGGATTTCACTGTTTACAATCGTTGGGTCACACAGGCTGGGGTGTTTCTTCCATGTTGACTTAGTTGATGCTTAGCTTAGGTAGTTGCTTGTTTTAAGACAAATCTTTAAGATCCCAGACCAAGCCTGTGACTTTTCACTAGGCCTTTCTTCCAAGGCACCACCGGTGGGTTTGACCGGCCAGTCTTTTGGTAGCAGTTAATTTACTTAACTCTTACACTACTGGACTCCTCCCACAAATCATTAGTGGGCATTTGTACTCTCTTACTGGTGATGTTTTTGTTTCATTACAGGACTGTTCTAGTTTGTCTTTCTCCATAGTGTGGATCAGGGAGTTTGCTTTCTTTTAATATCCTTAATGTAAATACTAACCTACAACTACCCAAAATGCATTTCATTTGATTGAAGTGCCATCTGCTGTGTATTCATATGTTTTTACTTTTTCCTAGGGTGCTTACCTACGCCCTGTAGACCATGTCTGGCATCACCCTATTCGAAGGAACAAGTTCAAATACCTGATTGACCATCCTGTCTCCCTAACGGGAGCTGGAAGGTAAAGGAGGAGGAGAGTGGGGATACATTCAGTTTAAGAGAGCAAGGAGATAAATACTATGTTATTTTTTATTGTGCGGGTAGAAAATCAAGAAGCATAGAGTTTGGATTTTCTGGCATATATGATTAATCAAATTACAATCTGAAGAGGACAAAAGATCACCTTCTGTTTACCCTTACTGCCCGTAGGATACCCATAGATGCTGGCTCTCCATACTTTGGGTTTGCTTAAATTTGTTGTTTTCATGTCTTTGTGTGTTTGCCCCTATACTTTGCTTTTCCTTTCTATACAAAAAGGAACAAGTTCAGATGGGTTAGGTGCCTTTTGCGTGTATGTGTGTACTTTTTTGTACCGCTGAGAACAAAGAGCATGGTAAAGATAGTTTCACAGTATGCAAACCCTTCAGGAACAAGTGCTTAATTCCTGGCTCTCTACAAAGTTAATCCCTATTGTGTTTCAGATCAAATCAGCAAGTATCGTTTGCTTTTATATAATTCTTAAAAATATACTAAATGTTAACATTTTGTCTGGGAAGACTGACCTGATCATTTTCTAAAAACAGTCCATTTATTATTTTATTCTTGGCATGCCTCTTTCTTTATACTGTTCATGTATAAGCTGAATTTTTCAGCACATTTTTAATGCAGTTTTTGTGTTAAATTAGGTGCCTCGACTGATATTTGGGTTGGCTTATACTCGAGTATATATGTATGTCACTTTATCTAAAAAAATTTTTTTAAACTTACCACACTTGGGTAATTTTGTTATATTTTAATTCAATTTGTTCACAACTTTTTTGGAAGCCCTCTTACAATGGGGGAGGGCTTTGAGATTTGAGATTTGTGGAGTCTATTTCCAGTGTGTATTCTGAAGAGGAAGGTTAATACTACAAACTGTAGCCCTGACTCCTGCAAGTGGTCCAGGGCCATATTGATTCTGGATTCTCCTCAATTTTACAAGCCAACAACCAGTACTTGTTGCAGGTCCTTAGTCTGAGGGGTTGGAGCCTGACTTATATGTAGCCTCAGGCCACTTCTCTGTCACTCCTGTTTGATGATTAGGTTAAACCTCTAGTGGGATAAACTTTCCCTTACTACTTCCTTTCAGGGTCACTCCTGAGTGAGGCTGAAGAGTATCTGCCATCCAGTTTTGGCTTGCACCCACATACTGAGTTTACCTACCCACACCAAGTGTGTTAATTAGGTTTATTGTGCCAACTAGGCCAATAGGAACAAGATTAAACTAGGCCAATAGTTTAATCAGGTCGCAGCTTAATTGAGGGCAATGAGATAAATGGCTTTGCAAGGCCGACCCCCTTCTCTCTTCCTCCCTGGTGATCAGGTCAGTGTGTTGCTGCTTCAGCTAGTTCTTTGCTTGTGTTGCCTGAGGGAAGACTCTGCTTCCTTGACCTTGGCCAGGCAGCCTACCCCTAGTGAGCTGAAGGACTTTCAGTATAGTAACTGTTCCACTTAAGAGTTGAACTGAGCCCTCTGTACTGCTGTGTGGATTAATTAGCTGTATATCTATAATATATATCTCACACACACACACACATATATATATAATCATATGTGTCCTGGTTTTGTTTCTCTAGAGAACTCTACCTAACACACCAAGCTTAAGCTTTTCTCTTGCTCATCAATTGGCCTCGTTTAGTCATAGGTGTGAGCTGAGGAGATGGGTGCCGAGGCAGAAATAGTGGATGGCATGGGCATCTGGCTTCTCTGGTTCTTGATTCTGTGTGTATCACCTCTGTCTAGTGATTGCTGTTGAGTTTATCCAGATGTATGACTTGGTGGGTCTAGCAGAACCCAGCTCATGGGGGGCAGTTCTAGATATTTGGTCACTTGGTGTTTACCATTAGGTGCTCTGCCCCTAGTGGGACTCCTTAGCATGGCAGGAGTTGTTTTTTTAAAAGACACAATTCTCTGCTACAGATAGTGTGACCTTGTTGCAGAAAACTAGAGATTTTCATTTTGATTGTTTCATAGGGTTATGCTATACACGCCACATGGCATCTCCCACCTCTGAGATCTTAAATCCCATAGAGCCTGCAAGATTATATGGACTAAGCAGCAGGTACTATAGCCTGTACCTTTTCTTGTTCTGAATCCCCTCAAACTGGCAGCTTTTCATATCACCCAGTATCACCCTGGAAAGCCACTGTTTTGATTGGACCTTTGTACCGGAAGGTAGTCTAATTGGACTAAGACAATCTAGAGCCCTACACCGATTGCCGAGACATGTTTAAAATAAACCTGCACATGTATGAACTGGACCCTTAGCAGCAATACTTTTGAATGTTCCTTCTTATTTACATATATTTAATTGGTTTAAATCTTCTAGAAATTCCAGCCTAAGTACTGGACATAAAATCTTTTATATATAAATGACCAAGGTTTAAATAATAAAGTGGGCATAGTCATTATAGAAATTTCCAAATCTAGATGATAAATACTGAATAGTCAACAAATCTACTCCACAAATATTTAACCATGTCTCCGCTGTGAAAAGTTTGCCTTTGGGTGTTAGGGGAAGCTCCAAGCTCCAAGTGCTAAACAGAGGGAACCCAGAAGGAGGTTTATTCTCACTCGAAAGAGCACTCCTGTTTTATGATGATAGCATTGAAGGTGGACTTTGAGTGCTTGAATTGCTGAATTTGGAGTCAGGGCCTTCTCTGTGTGGTGAATGCTTGAGTCAGAAGCCATCTAGTCAGTGGCCATCCAGTTAGTGAGAACAATAGTAGAGGAAGGATGGAACTAGATCACAGAACTGAAGGAAAAGCTTGAAGAACCAGACTTCAGAAGTTTAGGTCTTAAATCAGCTCTTGGGAAATCTGGCAGAAGGGCCCCATTGTGCTGATGCACTCATGCCTACTGTTTCTTTCTGGGAAATGCCCACTTAGGATTCAGTTATTCAAGATGCAGTCTCCCTGGGAGAGTGTTTTGACCCATCTTAAACAACTTGCCCAATCCTTGCCTAGAAGAGGTCATTAAAACATTTTTTAAAATTTATTTTTAAAACTACCATTCATTATATACTTACAGGAAAGTTACAAAATTCAGAGTTCCCATATAGAGGCTCTAATTATGGTAATTTATTTAATAACTGAAAAAACCCTTAGGAGGTCAAATGGCACAGCAATGAAGTACTCAGCTGTTTACTAAAGACTGGATTGTAATCCACACAGCTGCTCCAGCACCCAGGGCTGCATCGGGGTAGGTCCATGTGGCTTCTCCTCGGGGATGTCTTGCAGGAAGTGAGCTTTGCCAGCTAAAGCAGGGAACTAGCTAAGGCAGCAGCTTCACCCTGGTCCGACAATGACAAAGCAAGCGACCTGAGAACTAGAAAGGCGAGGCTCACTGAGCCATTTATCCCTCTGCCCTTCAGTTAACCCCACATGTGTTTATGGGCTAGGTTGGCACAATAAACTACCTCAAAGACCAAAGAGAATCCAGTAGCATAGATGGTAAGTGACAAGGGTGTTTGGGGGAAAAAAGTCAATCAATCCTGCAGAATATTTCAAGGTAGTAGTAGGAGGTAAAACTGATAATAGGTGGTTTAATTTGGTAGTGGGAAGTCATCCTCAGCTTTCAAGAAAACAGTTTCAAAAGAGATGTTTGAGTAAAATTGAGCATTGGAGAGAAATTTTTAAAAAAATCAGACGTTTACAGGGAGGTAGAGGGAGAGATAGCCACACTATGAAAATATGAAAATGATCCAATGTCAAGGAGGGTTTTTTCACAGAAGAAAAAGGCTAGAGCTGCAGATCACGGGGATGGTTCCCACGGAGAGGGAGACACCCAGAAGTTATGCTTGATGGCATAAACTGCCAGGGGACGTAAACCAGGATGGAATCAGAGATAAATTTAGTGGGAATTATCGTAGAGAGCCTGAGAATAGACCCTAACCTGAGACTGAAGAGTAGGGGAGAATTTGTGATGTAAATGACAGCTTTCAGGTAGAGAAGACCGGGAATATAGGGGGAACTCATCCCATCTAATGCCTCAGTCATCTTTGGAAAGTTTGAGGTCAGATCAGTTTTGCTGACACGGCTGCTTGTTTTCACCCAATAGAAGGTTGTCTACGGACCTTACCCACTCTTACCCAGTAGGCAGACAGAAAATTTATTTTTCAAATGTATTTTTCTAATTTTCCAGGGACATTTCATTCCTGTATGATGTTAAATATTTAAAAGGAGAGCCTAGAGAGAATATGGTTTGTCCCCCACGAGAGGACCGTTCTTCACATTTGCAAGATGGTGCCATGGTGCCTCATAAGGTAAATAAAGTATTAGACTAATTAGGTTTTGTTCCTGCCTACTTAAAAAAAACCAAACCAAAAAATTCCCTCAAAGTATAAAGCCAGGCCTTTGTATAGCAACAACCATATTGCTTCTCAGTCTCCATAGCATTTTAAAATTATTTCTAGAGAAGAATATTTAATCAGGAAAATCAAAGGTATTTTAAGCCATTTTCTAAACCAGCTATCCACTTTAATCTAGAAAAAAAAGTGAGATTTCTCCCTGTCCTCTCCGCACCCCGACCCTCTCCAAACCAACTTCCTACTAGGGAGTTGGTTCATACTCACAGTGACCCTAAAGGGCAGAGTAGAATTGCTTCTGTGGTTTCTGAGACTTGAATCTTTATGGGTGTGGAAAGCCTCATCTTCCTCCCATGGATTGACTGCTAGATTTGAACTACTAGCCTTGTGGTTCATAGCTCATCTGGTGGGTTAATGGGTTACACCTTGGGCTGTTAAAAAGGTCAGCAGTTCTAAACCTTTGGAGAGAGATGAGGCTTTCTACTCCTGTAAAGAGTTACAGTCTCAGAGACCCACAGGGGCAGCTCTACCTTGTCCGATGAGGCCGCTGTGAGTCAGCGTTGACTTGGTGGCCTGAGTGAGAAGCGGTGGTTTTTTTTTAAGTGGCAATGATTTCATGCCGGGCTTCTCCCAGGAACTGAGCCCCCCTCTGTTCCAATACAATGCTGTGTCTATGTGTGTCTCTGCTCCCCTCCCCACAAATCCAGTTGTAGAATGTTTATTTGGGGGATCTTGCTAAGATGAATTCAGATTTCCTGTTTATGGGCTATGAGTTGGAATCGACTTGGTGATGGTGAGTTTGGTTTGGAAGTTGTGATAGATTTTTTTCAAAGTCAACAAATCTCTGAATATAAGGAGCACATGTAACAATACTAGAACCAAGGCTGTTCTTTAACTCAAGTTGTTTTTAAATATGAGTGCATTCTGCTAAAAGCTTTTGCCACTTGGTGTGACCCACATTACTGATATTGTTATTTCTCTAATCAAAATCTCTCAACTTAATAAAAGTGCCCTTTGAAAGTAAGAATTAGGATATATGCAACTTATTTTTTCAGCTGTTAACATATTCATTTTTATTTGTCATTTTTTAAGCCTAAGAGATTAGCAGATACTTTGATTCCTGAAGAATTTCATATTGTGTCCAACACAGGAGTTTCAGGTTTGGAGTGTTACGATGAGTAAGTATTTTGTACTGAATACCTGGCAGGTGGAACCACTCGTCCTCTTTCCCAGACAGTGTCAATGAAGAACAGTGATCCACTCATGCTCTTATAAACAGTGAAATAAGAGAATATTTGGATTTGCCATCCTAATACAATTTAAGAAAGCCATAAAAATTAATGAAAAAATCTTAGAAGAGTGTGTAATTTTAGTAATTGGTTCTGTATCCTTCACACTGTTTGATTCTGAATTATTTTTAATGGAACTTTATTCTCAATATTCGTCTATGCCTCTTTGGGAATGGCTTTGAGCAATGACCATGAAAACCAAGGAAGGTAACCAGGCTCTCCTAACACATGCTTTAGGACTTCACTCCAGACTACAGAATAGGCATCTCTAGTTTTCTTTGTTTCTTACTTATAAGGTTGGAAATAGAATCCTGCTTTTCTTTCTTAAATAACACCTGAAATTTTTATAGTTTAAAAATCTAGAATTTTGGACTAAGTTTTTTTTATAAAATCATTTTATTGGGGGTTCTTACAACTCTTATCACAATCCATTCATACATCCATTGTGTCGAGAACATTTGTACATTTGTTGCCATCATCCTCAAATGTTTTTTTTTACTACTTGAACCCTTGGTATCAGCTCCTCATTTTTTTCCCCTCCGTCCCTCCCCGACCCTTCCTCCCTCAAAAACCCTTGATAATTTATAAATTGTTGTTTCTCTATGTCTTACACTGTCCAATATCTCCCTTCACCCACTTTTCTGTTGTCCATCTTCCTGGGAAGGGTTATATGTAGATCATTGTGTTGGGTTCCTGCTTTCTTCCTCACCTTCCCCTTACCTACCTGGTATCGCTACTCTCATTATTGGTCCTGAAGGGCTTATCTGTCCTGGATCCCCTGTGTTTCCAGCTCTGATCTGTACCAGAGTATATCCTCTGGTATAACCAGATTTGTAAGGTAAAATTGGGATCATGATAGTGGGGGGAGGAAGCATTAAAGAACTAGAGGAAAGTTGTATGTTTCATCAGTGCTATACTGCACTTTGACTGGCTTGTCTCCTCCCCATGACCCTTCTGTAAGGGATGTTGGACTAAGTTTTTATAGTAAAATATCCAGGGTCTATTATTTTATTAGTCTTTTTTTTTTAAAGAAGTCTTAGTAGTGTAGTGAGTTACAAGTTGGATTACTAACCACAACATCAGCAGTTTGAAACTGCCAGTTGCTCCAAGGGAAAAAGATGAGGCTTTTTACTCCTGTATAGAATTATCGTCTCAGAAACCCACAGGGGCAATTTTACCCTGTCCTATGGGGTCACTATGAGTCTGGTTTTTTAAATCAATCTCTTTACCTTACATAGTATGTATGTTAAATAACATTTCCTTATGATGGTGAATATCAGAACAATAATTTGCTAAAGAGATCTAAACAATCCATTTTTGGTATCTTTGTTTTTATATAATTTCAAATTTTAAAAAATATATAATTCCAATATAGCTTCTGTCCTGATATTATCTCATTTACTTTAACATATATATATACATATATATTCTGTGTATATATATAAAGACCAGATCATGCAAAAATCAGCATTATAGAAAAATGGAAAATGAAGGTATCAGATCACAAAATGGAGGATGACAATGCCATTACATAATGCTAAATTGCATTCTTACATAACTGCCAAACAAAGAATCCTGGCCTCATCAAGTTGACACATAGTGTTAACCATTACATCATTACTCTTCCCATCGTACCTTAGCTTCCATGATGTCAGATATATGTCATTATTCTACATTATTCTACAAAAGTTTTTGTACTGTGGTCTTACAAAACTGGCATGGAGACCCTGCCTGAACCCCTTTGGCTACACAAAGAGGCAAGAGACTCCATTTCCACAGGAAAATTGCCAAAGGCAAAGGTCAAGCGTACCTCCACACTCCATCCTTCTGACACCTATTCTACCCTATTCTGACACCAACGTTCCTCCTTTAGCACTCTACTTTTTTCTGGCTTCAATAATTTGCTGCAATGGCCACATGGAACTTGGACAAAACTCACAATGATGGCGGTTTATTAGGGAAGTTAATAGGTTACCACTAATCAGAATCAGTCTCATATCCGGATAAAGTCACTGGTCCACAGAAACACCTCTCGTTAGCCAGTAGCAACTTCTCCCTCTCTTCTTTGGCCTCTTATCCATGTGGTCCCTTAATTTCTACCTCATGGGACAGAAAACCCCCTGTCACTGCCTCTCAGTCCCATTGTTTTGGGGCTTCCCCTTGTTCTGTCTCATGGTCTTCTTGCCTCAGCCTCTGGTCTCAATCTGGCTCCTTGGATCTGTCCCATGGCCTCCATGCTGCAGCCTCTGGTGCCTCTGGTCTTAGCTTCTCCCATTTCAGACAGAGCTCTTAAACATGCTCCATTGCTGGCTCTCTTTCCTTTCTGGTCTTGGGAGTTCTCTGTGTTCCTTCTTCTGAGGTGGCTCATTCTTATATGGAGGTGTAGTTTTTGTCTTTCAGAAGACCAGACCCTCAAGGAAACCCAGGGTGGTGACTTGGTTCCTGCCCTCTACTCAGGTGGAGACTTAATCCCACTTTAATCCATTAGCATAGCAGAGAGCTCCCTCCAAAACTGGATGATAGCCACAGACCAGAATTTATAATATATCACATAAGGTAGCGGTTCTCAACTTGTGGGTCACAACTCCTTTTGGGGTGAAATGACCCTTTCACAGGGGTGCCTGATTCATAACAGCAAAATTATAGTTATGAAGTAGCAACGAAAATAATTTTATGGTTGAGGGGGTCATTGCAACATGAGGAACTGTGTTAAAGGGTCATGGCATTAGGAAGGTTGAGAACCACTGACATAAGGGGTTATGGCTAGAAGGGCCATATTAATTGGCTATATCTCAGATCATAAATATGAAGTGCCAGATAATGAGATAATAAGTGAACAGTAGGTATACACACACATATTTGGTAGAAGGAATATGATGTCTGAAACTTACTCATGAATGTTAAAATATATGGCAATATCTATATCTATATATCTCCAAACAAAAACCAAACCCATTATTGTTGAGTCAAGTCCAACTCACAGCAACCCTGTAAGAGTAGTACTGCGCCATAATGTTTCCAAGTCTATAAGTCTTTATGAAAGGTTTACTGTCGCAGGGTTATCCCATGGAGGAGCTGGTAGGTTCAAACTACTGACCTTTTGGTTAGTACTTGCACATTGCAACCGCCACATCACCATAGGTCCTCCGTATATATGTATGTATGTATCTGTGTGTGTAGAAAATTGAAATAAGTCCACATGCACCAAAATGTTAAGTATATTCCACCTTAATTTAGAGAATATCTCAATGACAGGTTTGACTCACTGCACATTATTAACAGAAGAATTGGCATATTGTGGGATGATATCAAGAACATCACACATAACATCATACATAATGAATAAAGCAAAAGGTCATTAGAAGGACAAGAAAAAGAAAAAAAGACCAGAGTGGATGTTGGGAAAGACCCTGAAACTTGCTCTTGAATGTAGAGTAGGTAAAGCAAATGGAAGAAATGATGAAGTAAAAGAGCTGAACAGAAAAGGTCAAAGGGAAGCGCCAGAGAACGAAGTAGTGTATTATAACGATATATGCAGAAACCTGGGGCCAGAAAGCCAAAAGGAAGAAGATATCCAGCATATCTCAAGCTGAAAGTATTGAAGGGAAATTTAAGCCTCAAGTTGCAACATACAAGGATTCCATGGGCAAAATATTGAAACATTGAAAAATTATAGGAAAAATATACAGAATCACTGTACTGAAAAGACTGGTCCATCTTTAACCATTTCAAGAGTAAGGTTATGATAGAAAACTGAGGGTATTGATGGAAGAAAAAGTTCAAGCTTCTCTGAAATTATTATCTAAAAACAAGGCTACAGAAATTGATGGAATGCTTACCTTCCTGACATGATGGCTGAAGACAATATGGGTGCTGTATTAGTCTGGGTACTTTAAAGAAACAAATGTGCAGGAACTCATGTATAGGAGAGAGTTTTATATAAAGGTTAAGTGTGCATCAAGAAAACACCCCAACCCAGTGCTGCCCTAGCCCACAAGTCCAATATTAGCCCTTATGTCTAACACCAATCCACAAAGTCCTCCTCCATCTCACAAAACAGACATAATGATGCCGACTGCAGGAGGAAAGCTGAGTCAGTTAATGTGTGAGCATCTCAGCACTGGCAGGGGTCTCCACACGGCTGCTCCCGCACCCAGGGCTGAATCGGAGTAGGTCCATGCAGCTTCTCCTTGGGGATGTCTTACAGGAAGTCAGCCTTGCAAGCTGAATCAGGGAACGGCTAAGACAGCTACACCCTGGTGTGAACATCACAAAGCAAAAGATCTGAGAACGAGAAAGGCGAGGCTCACTGAGCCATTTATCCTTCCACCCTTCAATTAACCCCACATGTGTTTATTGGCCAGGTTGTCACAATAAATTAACTCAGGTGCATAAGCAAATGTGATGAAGAAAGCTGATGGTCCCTGGCTATCAAAAGATATAGTGTCTGGGGTCTTAAAGGCTTGGTAAACATGTGGCCATCTAGCTGAGAAGCAACGAAAACCACATGGAAGAAGCACACCAGCCTGTGTGATCATGAGGTGTGGATAGGATCAGGTATCAGGCATCAAAGAACAAAAAATCGTATAATTGTTAATGAAGGAGAATGTGGAGTGGAGACAATTGGACCCATCTGTAGGCAATTGGACATCCACTTACAGAAGGGTCGTGGGGGGGGAGGCAAGCCAGTCGGTGCAATATACCACCAATGAAACATACAACTTTCCTCTAGTTCTTTAGTGCTTCCCTCCCCGCCCCCACTATCATGACCCCACTTCTACTGTACAAATCTGGCTAGACCAGAGCATGTACATGGGTACAGATAAGAGCTAGAAACACAGGGAATCCAGG